GAGGAGAGGGGAGAGGGGAGAGAGCTTTTATAATCCACCGTATAATTCATTTAGCTTACCGAAAAGGAAACACTTGCTACCACCAGCCTAAGTGATAAAAATAAAGAGATAGAGGTAGAAAGAATGCCAGAATAGAAGAAATTAATGCAATATGCAAGATTGAAATCGGAATAATGTGGTGGTAGGAGGGGAGGGGGGGGAGTGGGGTGGAGTGGAGTGGAGAATCGGCGAAAGAGATGGATTCAAGTAAAGTAATCAAATACATGCTAGGAGCTTACCTAGGACTTTTGACGTTGCCAAAATCTGCTTGTCAGCATTCTCACTAGTCTTTCTTTTCTCGACAGGTATTGCTGCTGCAAGATCAATATGACTTCCCATGATTTTGTCCTTGGGATCGAGTTTTTCAGACGCGTCCTCAAAGTTCTCATTTTCATCGTCCTGCATAATCTTCTCGGTGGCGGCATTTTTATTTGTCACGGCATCCTCACACAACGCAACTGTACTGCGTCCATTCTCTCCCCTTGTACCTCCGCCTCCATCTGATTCAGTGCGCTTCAGATCCATCGAGGAGCCAAATCCGCGTTTATCTAATCGCTTAAGACAACCCGCAGATTCATGGTGGGCTGGACGTTTAGTATTCTGCACAAACTGTCGTCCAGCGGGTTGGTTTCGCTTGAAAATAGGAGTAAAAGAATTGGCTGATTCGGCTCGTGTCATGGATTGTTTCTGCCAATCATAGGGTTCATTCCAATCAACTCCATTGGTCGAGAGCCATTGCTCAATTACATGTCGCAACTCCCGATAATTTGGTGTTGTATAATAATTGAGATTATTCAAGTGACCAACCCACGTAGCGGCGATAGATTGAGGTAAACCTGCGTTGACTCCTAATTCAACTGGATGCGTTTCTGATTTAATTTTCTTCACCACGTCCTTTTCGCTTCTCCTATGCCATGGCAATTGTCCACTTAGGAATTCAACTAGCATGTAATACATAGACCAAAGATCATCATGTCTCCCAAGTTCTCGATAATTATGCGCATTTAAGGAGGCGTATCGGACTGTACCGCGAAAACCAGCCGTTGTTCGCGGAGGTCGTATCTGATTCGTTGTACCAGGTTTGGTGTAAGGACGAACCAAGCCGAAATCCAATAAACAAATCTCGCTAGAATCTTCACGACGCAAACAGAAGTTGGAGGGTTTAATATCACGATGGAGGTAGCCGACACTGTGTAGTTCCTGTAGAGCGTCTAAACACTTGCAAATTATTCGAAGAGAAGTCGAACGACCAAAGGATTTGTTCGCAGCCTTTTTACGCAGCTCACTGAGGTTTTTGCCCTGTAACGCAAAGGCGAAAAATGTATTCCTTTTCATAAGATAGAAAAAAATTTAAAAAAAGTAATACATACATCATTATTTTTCCCATATTATGATATAAACTTGCGATTTGCATGTGATGCGAATATTAATGAAAAATATAAGCAAATTTGATCCCGGTCAATCATTATTTACCTTTTTAAGAAGAACGATCCATTTTAATTAGTAATCGTATTAAGGAAATTGAAAAATATCGGTTAGGGATCACATATAATTTAAACAATTATCTTTTATTTAATAGGGCTTGTTTTCTCAAATGAACTAATTGGCTTTCCAGTATTCATCAATATCATCAAAAGACTTTTCTCTATGCAATAGTTAAACTGTTATACTTTTACAAAGGTTCCAATACATACGTTTTGTGTAAAAAAGGTTTTCTTTAAAGCTAGATTGGTTTCTTCAAAAGATAATAATTGGAGCATAAGACTTATAAAAGAGGCAATCATTCATTGCTTCAAACACTGTGTATTGAAATAATCAAAAACATCTCAAAATAAATCAACTTCAAAATTAAATTAAAATACGATGACCTCATATTTACCTGCAAAGTCATGACAATGTAGTTGATGCGATGAGTCTTGCCGCAAGCCAAAATATCGCAAAAGTTCTTCTTCCCCTTCAGCTTTCGCATCACCGCAACTTCCATATGAAGCATTTGTTTTGATTGTGTATTTGATTCTGTTTTAACCGCGACAATATGATTATCGATTACCGAACCGCGTTCTGAGTAGCCAGAGGAATTTCCTGAATCTATGGACTCCAAAGCATCTTCACTTGACTGCCGTTGAGGGGTAGTCTTTGTTGTTGAGAAGAATTGACGCTCACAAACACCGCATTTCAGAATGTGAATATGATCCTCTAGAGGGCTATTTACAGCACTAATATGTCTAAGTAGATTGGTGCCAGCTTTGGCAGCACAGGATGCGCATAGTTCTGTACCATTTGAAATCGCGCGATTAAACTTCTCTTGCTCCGACTAAAATACACGAGAATCGAAGTAATAAGATAATAAATTTTAATAGTTACCTGGGTGTCTACAGCTTGATATATTTCACCAAAGCCACCGCCACCAATTTTTTGAAGAATTCTCCACCGATTTTTAACCATATCACCAGTGTGCATAAGGTCTTTGGAATCGTCCTCTTCTCCAACTTTAGGAGTATTTGGATTTAAACTTATACGACGATTTTGAGCTTGTACTTCGTGACGCACTTTGGAAGTAATGAAAATATTTTCATATTTAGGCGAACCACCACTATTTTGAACGTTTTCAGGTGAAGAAACCTTCAGTTTATTAAGCTCATGCATCATACGTTTTTCCACAATATGTGCGGGTGAGGAAGATTCTTGTCGCGTACGAATTTCCATTTAGTCCATTAAACTAAATTTAAAAAATACATGAATCTAACTGATTCAATATTATAAAATATTTGTTTATTTCAAATGGTAGGCGTTTTGATGGTTATCATTAGCCCTTTAGCTGACTCCGGTGTTTACAGAAGCAGCCTAAAATATTAATCTCTAACTATTATATTCAGCAATAAAAGCAATAAGTATGACTGCTTGAATAATTAAAGGTAGACAAATATTATTGTAAATTGCTTTAAAATTTGTCAAAATTTTTATATTTGCTCGTTTTTGAGTACTTACCGATTCGCAAACCAATTTAAAAAAGCGCCGTTTACAAAAGTTAAATGATGTGATAGAATAAAACAAATATCTGAATAAAGCATTTGAAAAGATATAGCTAAATTAATAAAATTTAACTAAATCTTATTGAACTCGTAGTTATTTATCGCTTCTTTCATCATTGATATGTACATTTTTAATAGTTGACTCTAATTTAATGCATAATAAAAATTAAAATTTATTTTACTGCTATTACAAACTTAATTCAGACATATTTTAATTTTATTGCTAATTTTGATTATGTTGCACATCGCAATTCAATTTGAAGTTGATACTGCACAAATTTTCATATAAAGAAAAGTATACATTGACAAAAATGCAAATATGTGCAAACGGTTGTGTATTCATATATGATCGATGCGGTTAGTTTGCTGAAATGGCTTCAGTATATGTTTTACCCAGTCACATATGAGTAGGGGAATCAACTAAAAGGTGATGAAGGGGCTGAGGTAAGATTTTGGAATTCTCGCATTTATATCGAACATAATGAATTAAGAATGTATAAAGAGTCTCCTAAATTTAAGTTACAGGTAACTAGAAAAGCTTTAAATGATTTGATACGTCATTTTGTATTTTGAATTATGAAGCATTTTACGAAATTCAGTGCAGATAGGACAAAATTATTCTCAAATTCAACAGATCGAGGTTAACTCAATACCTAAGTGTCCAAGCAAGGAAAAATTACAAGCAGTGCAAGAGCTTTGATGAAGGTTTCATAAAATTATTGACATTTATGGGCTGATTTAAATCCATGGTTAAATAGTTGCTGCATAGGTGTAAAGATTTTCAAATAAATCAAGCGTCCTGATAATTTCATCGTCCCCTACCTTAAAATGTCCCGTATGGAAACAAAGGAGGGATATTCAGCATACTGTTTTTTTAGCATAATTCACCTCCTGACTTGGAATTTGCATTATGGCTATATGTCTCTCTACTCAACACTAGTCACGATTCGATAATTGACATTGTGGGGTGTGCGATAGACTTACCTCCACGTGGTGCACCCTGGGCAACGTATACTCATACGGCAAAAAAGTCTATTATTCGGCAGTTGACTTCTGACTTCAAACTACCAAGACCCCACTGCATTTCATATTCGAATAATTTCACAGTACTCACCTCACCTTTTTCTACCTTTGTGTCTGTCTGTCTCTTTTACGACTGTGAATCATTATTCTGTCCCCCTCTCGACTTTTTGCCACTTTACTGTTTATCTTCCTTTCTGTGAAGCCGGAAGTCAACTAAAGGGTTAATGATACCTATCATAACGCCTACCATTTGAAATAAATAAATAATTGACATTGCCTTGAAGCAAAATAAACTGCAATATCGAGCTTAGTAATAGCTTTAGCGATTAGAGTTTAATAACTTGCCTTTTTCAAAACATTGCTCATTTTGAATAAGTTAAGTATTTCGCAAAAATTCAACTAATGGTGTTTTGCCTAGTAAATATAATTTACAATGTGCTCATCTACAGTGCCAAGTATAGTTTGCAAAAATAGTGAAGGCATAAAAAGAAAATGAATTTATGTTAATAAGAAGATAATTAGTTTTAGCCAGAGGATTTACACATAATTTTGTCATCTGCAAAAAAACTGGTATGAAATGCTTGGATTTTAAAACATGTATATTTGACCAGTTTAAGAGTTCATATTAAACTGTAAACTTTATTTGACTCTTACTAATCAAATGACTTATTTAATCAAATTTAAATATTTATCTGTCAATCAACTGTGAGGTCAATCCTGGATTTCATGATGAAATTTAGAAGAAAAAATAAAAATTGTGACATATATATGAGATTTAAAATAATCTGACAACTGGTGTGACACGAAGAAGAACAGGACTAATTTTGTCCTTTATAATTGTTAATTTTGAAATTTTGCTTATTTTGGATTTGCCAGTGTTTTAGGTCTTTATCTCTCTGTTCTCAGTGGTGCTTGGAGATTACAGGGGATTTTATTTCAAAAAATGTCTCATAGGTGTACTACTTTTGGATGTGAAAAGCCTGCCACATTGCGTTGTCCGGATTGCATTAAATTAGGAATAACGGAATCTTATTTTTGTTCAAAGGAATGCTTCAAATCCTATTGGAAAACGCATAAAAAGTTACATCTCCTTGCAGGTTTGTTGATTCTCTTTGCATATTTTCCAAAACTATAGAGGGCAAGTGTGTGCTTCCTTCCTCTGAACTTGATGAGATTTTCAATGGATTTCACTTTACTGGACCTCTTCGTCCGGCTAAAAAGGTAGGAAATATTCAATGTTTACTATTTGCGTATTTTGATATATAGACTCCATTCCGAACTGTTCCAGATAATATAAATCATCCTGATTATGCGGATACGGGTATTCCTGTCTCAGAACGTGAGGCCAAAAGTTCTCATTCAATTATTTCATTGAATTTGGAGGAGATGGATGGAATGCGAACCACAGGAAAGGTAGACTTTTTATTTTTAAAATATACGATTTTGATAATTATTAGCTCGCTAGAGAAGTTCTCGATGAAGCAATAGCCGCTGTGGCTGTTGGTGTGACAACTGATGAAATTGATCGAATTGTTCATGAAGCTTGCATTGAGCGTGAATGCTATCCATCACCGCTAAATTACTACAATTTTCCAAAGTCATGTTGCACGTAAGTCTCTTTACTTAAATTTTGATTATTATTTTAAATTTAGATCGATTAACGAGGTCATTTGCCACGGAATTCCCGACCAGCGCCCCCTTGCCGATGGAGATATTGTTAACAGTAAGATCCCTCTTCTGCCTTTTTTTAAAAATATTTCAACCTCATTTCTTATCTTTTCTTACTCTTTCAGTTGACATAACTACCTATTTCCGCGGCTTCCACGGAGATGTGAATGAGACAGTTTTCGTGGGAACTCCTGATGAGAAAGCCATTCGATTAGTTAAAAATACCTACAATTGCTTGGCCAAGTCTATGGATGCAGGTAATTATTTCTACTGTGTTAATTAATTTGAATGCACTTTCAAGTAAACATTTATGCATCTTTTGTCTAGTAACTCAGTGTCTACTAAGGATTCCACGGTGTGTTATTCCTTTATTACACTCTGTTATTGTTCGTCGATGATTTCGAAGTAGCCAGATTTGCAGTTTCACATTTCGGCTTGGATATTTTTGAATGAATCTACGATCACTTTGAACAAGTAGCCTTGCCCTTTCATTATTTTAAGGATCACTTTTAACGGCCATAAAGACTTCAGTTTTTAAATTTCCGATTTCTGTAAGTTGTGTATCAGAGCGCCTTCATTTTTTTTTCTTTTCTGTGAGATTTTCAGGGTAATGCGTATACTGCAGCTGACTGATAAACTTAACAAATTCATGCCTGTGTTCTATTTCACAGTGCATACTACTTATTTTTTATTAAGGATCGATTTGGTTTATTTTCTCTTTCTTTTGTACTCCGTGTATTATTTTCTACCTCGCACTCTTCGTTAGTGCCTGTGACTTCATTACTTTTGGAAACGAGTTGTTCACTTGGAGAGGTTAATACACTATTAAATTCCGTAAATTAAACTATTGGGATAAAACGGTCCAGTTAAAATCAATTTTTTTGTCAAAATCGATCGGTTTGCCATGTCGATAACCTCTCGTTAGCACCGGTTATCTTAAAAGAATCCCTAGCGCAAGAGAATTCAATCCAAGAATCGGATCATTTTCTCTGAAAACTAGACAGCACAATTTCCTCTTGAAAGATTGTGTTATTGTAATCCTAAGGTGACGAGAGTCTTAAGTCTCCATTTTTGCGAGGCCCAGGACTAATAAACTTGTTTCCTCTTTACTGTTTGTCCTTGAATGTGACGTTTTATGTTTTTTCAGATATTTCTAGGCTTTCTCTGTGGAGGTATGTGTTTTCGAGCTTATGTTACTTCTATTTCTTTGCTGATCAGCTATGAGTGCACTTTAATTAAGGAAAAGCTCCATTTTTGGGCAAGTTCGGGCTTACTACTTAATTATCTTAGGTTTGCGTTAGTGTCATTTTCAAGGGAAATTAGCATTTACCGAAAGTTTAGTATTGGTTTGTCATATTGTCGCCTTTATATGCACCAACTATTATCAAATCCGTGTACCCTTCATCATTGTTCCATAGGATGGGTGTTGACTAAGCAGTAGTCAATGCACATCTATTTCCTCACCGTTATTTTTCGTTTTCAGTTCGTATAGGAGTAAAATACCGTGAGATGGGCGACATCATTACCCGAAATGCCAATGTTGATGGATTTTCCGTGGTGCGAACGTACTGTGGACATGGTGTGCATCGTCTTTTCCACTGCCCCCCTAACATCCCTCATTACGCTCGTAAGTTTCGAATTCCATCTTCGTTCATCTTACTTATTTGCATTTCAGTAGCTTTGAGACTTGGAGTTAATTTTATAAGCTCATAGGAAGTTTTGGAGCTTATTTAAGTTCTCATTACTCATTTGGGAACGTTTCATCTATTTTCCTTAGATTATTGTGAAGTGGATTTATTTTATAATTAAATTCTAACTGGAGAATGGGGATTTTATTTTTTTCCAAACTTGAAGCCTCTTCCCGCTTACCTTCTCATTGGAGATTTCTTCCTTAGTGCGTTTCTTGCAGATACATTTTTGTCTATCTTTGGGCATTAAACGTTGTTGACAACATTTCAGCAAATGTTTTATGTTGAAACACAATGTCTCTCAATTCACTCTTGGAGTATTTTTACTATTTCTGTTATTTTTATTTGCAATACTTACTACTATGATTGGACTAATTGTTGCTATTTTATATTTAACAGAAAATAAGGCTGTGGGCTCAATGGCACCGGGTCACTGTTTCACAATCGAGCCAATGATTAATGAAGGCAATTGGCGTGACGAATTGTGGCCTGATAATTGGACAGCTGTTACTGTTGACGGTTTGCGTTCAGCGCAATTTGAGCATACCATGATAATCGTGAAGCGAGTGGAAGGTTTTGAAACACCTGCTATGCTAGAAGGCGGTCCGCCATTGGATGTTGTAACAGCTCGAACTATCAAGGGTGAAGACAAGATGGCGAATGTTGAAATACCCAAGGAAGATGAACTGCATTTCCGTCGTTATGGACGACCTCACTTTGTTGACCAACTTTACGATCTGAAAATGGATGTTAAATCTATTTTGGAACAAAAAGTCACTCCTAATGCAACATCTAAATAATCTGATTTGCTAGTAGGATGACTGGGGTCGGCTCTACTTTCTGTCAATTAATTGGCGATCAATACATTATGAGTATTTGTATTTTTTATTGTGTGTATTTCCATGTAAGTAGTACGCAATGTACGTAGTTTCTACCTTTAGAGGAACAAGTTCTCGTCACCTCCAACAATTTTGTCCTGTAGGTGGTCTACGGTGTCAAGGGGCTTATGTGTAAAGCGGGGAATAGTTAAGTAGGCCCCACCCTCACCCAATTTTATAAATCGAAAGTACAATTGAACAGTTTCTCCTTATTTGGCAACCGAGTACTTTCCATACCTAATCACAATTCTGTGAAAAGTAGATTTCTCAATGACTGCTCTTCTGTGTGTGTGCACCGACAGAATCTTTTTAATTACTGACTTCAACGATATTCTTATAACTAAAAATCGAAAGGTAGAGAACTTTTGCTTACCTAGTTAGCATTTCATTTTAACACATTAAGCTTTCTCCAAAATTAAGCAAATTTTAACACTGACCTACTGGGCTTATAATGTTCCGCCTAAGATAAATTTTGGTGAAAAGAGAGACCTATCAATTTTGGTTCAGCATCTTTTGTGGTATTTGTTCAAGTGGAGCTTCAGATTTAGTCGGAGAGGAGAAGAAATGAGGACTTTCATCGATGAAGTAGCGAGTCTCAAGCAATAAATTTATTATATTTCAAATATCGCATTTGCGGGGGCATAGATATACTACTGATTTTCTTTTCAGTATTGGGGTAGGGAACACCAGAAGAGGAGATGGTAGGGGGTGAGGGGGTTGTGGGGGGGGGGGCCAGGGGAGGAGAGGGAGAGGAATTAAGGCATCCATCGATAGAGTTGCTGGCTTCGATCAGGTAGTAAGTCTCGTTCCCAACATGGTCTGAGGGGGAGGTTTGTGAATAGTTGGCGTTCTGAGAGAATTCTTTCTCGCATTCGACGAGCGTAGATGGCAGATTGAGCAACCACTAGGAGATGGTCTATTTCTCTCATTTGTGCTTTGAAAGAAACCGCAACGCTAGCTAACTCAAGCGTCTTATATGTAGTGCTTCGTGGGAAACTCTTCTCTTTCACCTTACAGATGATCTTGGGAATCCGTGTGGAAGGTGAGAAATTTCTGATTGGTCGTCTGACTTGGTGAAGAAAAATGCACAAAAACGGCAACAGCTGTAACACGTGACCGCTTTTCATCGAATTTCTTAATTAATATCCTCTTTTAATATTAGATGATGATGATGATGATGATGAGGTGTGCTCAAAGCCAAAATTAAATATTTTCAGACCTCTGAGTAGAATCTATAAGACTATAGATCTATAATCCATGGTCGAAATTAATTCATTGCGCGCCATATTTATTGTTTGCTGTTGTTCTATTCTCGAAGTTGGCAATGAACTTTTCAGTTCACTATGCTACTGACTAAGTAGGCTAATCGCATAAATTTATATTAACTCTAAAGGAACTTTTATAATCATTTGCTAAATAAGTGCATCATTTTCAAAGATTGTACAAATTCCTCCATTATACACGAACATGTCTTCAACGTTCAACTCATGGACATCTATATAAATATATATATATATATATATATATATATATATATATATATATATATATATATATATATAT